AAAAAAGCGTTCGTACGGTTTGATCCCCACACAAGGCTCTCATGTAGCTTTCTTTCATTTAAAAGGTGATGTAATTTATACAAAACTCGAGACTAATTCGAGGTGTATGTTACAACACTAGCGGAGCGGCGGGTAAAAATGGACACGTGGAAATTAATGCATTGCAAAATTAGCTTAAAATAGCATATCATGAACTATATGAAACAAATAGCTTCCATGTTGCCATGGGTCTGTACAGTAAGAGATCATAGGGGAAGTCAAAATGTGGTAACATCACCACTGCCACACTCAGCTGCCCCTCATGTGTCACTTTGTTGTTCTTACCAAATTTTGATGTCATCTGTGATCTGTTACTGGATAGACACAAATCTTTAAGAAATCCGCTTATTAAAGCAATTATGACCTCTTTAAAGCTTGAGAATGTTTCTTTGAGCATTTGTGCCAGATAGATTAGCACAAAGAAACTCTGTGTACCCTTGTTTATGTTATAGGCCTAGCTGACTTTAAAATCTTGCCTAGCCTAGACCATATTATTCAAACAAAATAATGATTTCCAGTCTATAAATATATTTTACTAAATTGTAGTGAGCTAATTACTCACATATAATTTGACTTTCTCTGATTAGAAAATTGATTTTTTTTTGTTTCTGTTTCTAGATTTTAAAATTGACCGTCCTAAACCTGGAGCAAATACCTTTAGTATTGAGTTACATGACAACCTTTACTACTTGTGTGCAGAAAGGGACAAAGTGTTTCTACAGGTAAGTTAAAACATGCTATATAATGTACTTGCAATGTACCTAGCTCTAACCTCCTCGGTTGAAGCTCACAAGTGGAAAGAACTCCCCTACTAAAATGACTGGGGTACCATTGTTGCAAATTTTGAATTTTCAAAAACAACTCAGAGACTTTTTAAAGGCAGATCTGGGGATTTTTTACATACACTTCTATACTCCCATCTTAACTAATAATTTAATTCTGGAAAATTACTAGATTTGTAGCTTCAAACCAGTGTTCAGATTAGTTTTTCAATTTTTTCCATTTTTTCCTTAATATTTTGTTTCTAGAAACTGGTTGCCCAACAACCCAAAGATGAAAAGTACTTGTTTGAAGTTAAATATGTAAATGAAAGTAGTGGTTACATGTCTATGAAATCAAAAAATACTGGGAAGTACCTTGCTAGTGATGACAGTGGAAAAGCATTTATGGAGGAAGTCAAGCATTCTTCATTGTTTGATGGGCAGCCAATGGACAGAAGAACATGGTTTAATCTGGTCTTTGTGGAAACAGTGAAAAGAGAAAGAGAAAGTACATTACATAGTTGTAACTTCAATGACACAAGTCTTGAATATTCAGTCAGGTATCAAACTCAAGTAAAAGCCTGTTAGGTGTTACTATTAAGTAACAATGTGAAAATTATAATTTACAAGAATAAGATAGGAGAATTTTAAAATTTTTTCAATTTTGGAACTTTTTTTGTTCCAGGAGTTCAAAGATACTGATTTAGTTTTTTGAGCAGTGTATATTTACTTATTTTGTGGTTTACACTTTTGATAAGTTTTTGACATTTTGAGATGTAATGAAGAAAAAATTAGCTCAAGCTTTTTTTACTGTTGAAACAGTCCAGAATAAGTGTCAAGACTAATTACAATAAAATAATACAGTAATTATTTCATAAAGCTTAATAGTTAAGAGGCCTATTCATACTTAAAAGTATTACTTAATGTTTGCTAACAAAACAACTTAAAATGTTGTAACATAAATGGTAACTGGTACTTTACCCAGAATATATGTTTTACTCTGAGTATATTTAATTTATATCATAATCACTTTTGTACAACAAAATTTTTGTTGTGTACTCATTTAAATACACTCACTAGTGTGTATGTTGTTATTTACAATGATTTCAGAATAAAATAATTCCAATCTAGGTTTTTTTGATAGTTTGTTAAAGGACTTGAATGTATTTCAAACTTCACTTTGAACTGTAGAATCTTTACAAGCCCATGCAAGTAGCATAGAATGCAGTCTTGGATGTTGTTTAATAAAAAAAAAAGTAATTACCAGGCCATTAGACACACAGTAATTCTGAATAAAAAGGTAAAAGTTGTATGGAGTCATTGGGAACTCAGAGTAAAGACTTGAAACTGGTTGCAAGTCAGGGAAACATAGGTCACCATGTAAGCTAAGTGCGTGCTGATCAATTCGAGGCTTCAACATCCTCCCCCCCCACAGGTATTCAACCATTGTCTGCACCTGGGGGTTGGGGAATTTTTTACCCTTGCTTGGGTGGTGTGGGGCATTTGAACTTGAAGTGTCAAGTCTTTCCTGTGTAATACAAAGGTATTAATGGAGGAGTTTAACGAGAAAGTCTGCTTTCATAGATGGCTTAGAAAGACAATTTTCACATTGTAGACTGGTGCTTACAAGTGAAAAAATCCAACAGCACTACCAAGAACTAATATGTAACTTTCCTAAGTTCTATAACATTCACATGAAGAATTGTTCAATATACACTGAATGTAAATATGGTGTCCAATTTGAGTTTCCATTGTTCTGGACTCACAAGCGTCTCACACATGTAATAATCCTTTTGTGTTTCCACATGAAGACAAGGCTGATGAGTCCAGAACAATGGCAATTCAAATTGGACGCCATATTTGCATTCGGTGTATTGGGTGGGGGTATTTGAATGCAATTTTGGCTAGGGGTGGGAGGGAGGTGCAAAATTGAAGGTGCCAATTTTGAAAAGCTCAAATGCCAATGGGGGTTGCTAGGTGGGGGGAGGATGTTGAAGCTTCACAATGATTGTCGCAATACCAGCCACTCAAATGAGTGGCAAAAATCAGGGCTAATGATCAAATCAATATTGGCTTTACTTCAATTTGAAGACTGATTGGTTAAGAGGAGAGGGTATTTTTTAGCTCAACTGATAGAGCGCTGGACTGATGTGCAGGAGGTCAAGGGTTCGAGGCCCGGCCGGACCAACACTCAAGGTCTTAAAATAATTGAGAAGAATATGCTGCCTTTCTATAACATCAAGAAATGGTTTAGATATTCTAGTCTTCTTGGATAGGGATGAACAAATGGAGGTCCCGTCTCCTGCAGGGTTAGGGGTAGGAGACATTAATTTCCCACGCACGAGATTACTGTGTGATGGATGTCCTCCCCTAGGGTGGGATGGGTGGGTGTTGTCTTGC